TGAATCAATCAATGATTGATTTATAGACCACAGTCAATCAGTGATTGACCCATGATTGACCAATTCATTATTAATTTATCAATAGTTTATCATTAATAAACATGTAATTTGTTGACTGAAATTAATTAATTACTAATTAATTTTAATTAATTATTAACTAATATTGATTAATAATAAAGAATAATCACTTAAGTTGGTAGAATAACCTTTCTAGCTTAAAGAGACTCTCTCTTCCTCTCTCTTCGAGCGATTCTCCTTCTATCGCTAGGGTTGCGACGTTTACTTTTCCTCCTTGAGGCTAGAGCCGGGATTGCCGTTTGGTTGGCCTCTGGATCTCTAGCCCTAGAGAAGGAGTCTTGGGCTTCACAGTGAGAACTGTGACAATGGAGCCTGTCTTGTGGCCGACGGGGACGTGATGTGGCAAGACTGAGGAAAAGGGCTACTGGATCTTTGAACATCATTTCTAGTTGCGTGGGAAGTTCGGTGGCTATGCTACTCGTGGGTTTTGACCATCTCGTCGCGGTAGTGATGGAGTTGATAGACGTGCATGGAAGGATGTGGGGCACCAGAGACATTGTTGTGGTGGTGCTTGTCATTACAAAGCTTGTGGATACTTCAGTTGGTCTATGCTTTCTGGGCTTTGGTCCCCGGGGTGTAGTGATAGGCTGGGCAAAGCACTTGCTTTGTTTGGTGGCCGTCGGCGGCAGTGTGTGGGTTTCCTTTGCCAGTGTGGTGGTGGTGCTCTTTCTACGATATTTCCAACTCCTTGCAACACTATTTCTCGTGGTCATATCGATTGCGCTGATGGGTTTGTGGTAAGTTTCTACGTAGCAGGGGTTTTCTTCATTAGTTGTTTGTGTTCAATAAAGGACGTTTGTCCATCACTGTCATTTTCTAATTTCAGTTTTCATCTTGTAATAACGGAGGTGGTTTCCTCACTCTCTGATTCTGTGTATGTGTGCAATCCGTTAGAGTTATTTCTCTACGGTGTTGTGTGTGACTTTTGGTTAATAAGTCTCTTAATCTCAATCAATAAGAATTTTTCATCGATTGTAGAGGTGTTGTTGAAAAAACTAATTGGGTGCTCGATTTGTTGTGCATTTTTAGTTTCCTGGTGCTGAAACTTAGTACACGTTTTACCCCTTTGTACGTTTCATTCGAACTTACTGTTAGATTTGTTATCGGGGTTAAGTCTTCTTATTTTCTGAGGTCATTCGCGTCAGTATTAGAGTGTGTACTTCATTGATTTGGAGTACAAATTACAATTAACTTTCAAAAAATAATAAAAAATAATTTAGTTAATCAGTGATAAATTAAAATCAATTATAATTGACTGCTAAATCAATTAGTGATTGACTGTTGAATCAATCAATGATTGATTCCTGTGTCAATCAATTTTATAAAACTTCAACTATTTATGAAAAATATGCTTCAAAAAAGGCCATTTATGCTGAAATTCCTTTATAAATTTAGTCATGGATAAAGTTGGTAAATATATCAAATTTATTCATGGGATAAATTCAAGTAATCCTAAATTTACCAAATTAGTCATGGGTTTTTATGCTGAATAAAAAAGAGATTTGGTGGTATCCTCACATTACCACTCAGCACTTTAAAAGGAATCTACTGAGACTGCAAGTAGATCTGTAAATCGAGGATTTACTTCTATTACTAACTTTTAAACAATGAATTCATACTCAAAAAGAAAAGAAAAGAAAAAAAAAACTTTAAACAATTCTGCCATTTATTTTTAGTCCCGGCTAAAAATTGTTATTCACCTCCTTCACCTTCCCTTTGATTCACCCTGTGATTGTGCCTACATCGTGCCTGGTGCATGTTTTTTGAATTACGAAAGAAAATTTAGGGGTAGTTCAAACTCAAAAAAAAAGTTTAAACTCGAGTTATAATTTTATTTAAGTTCATGTTCTTTTGTAAAATTTAAATTTGAACTCGTGTTTGGGGCTAACTCGAGTTCAAATTTTCCCTTCAACTCGAGTTTATAAACTCGAACTCAAGTTAATAAATAATATTTTTCATTCTTAAAAATGTCATAATTGTTTCGTTTTAATTCTGATTGAGATGATTTTTTTTCTATGCATTCACAACGAAAAGACGAATAAAACCTCACCCATATACCCTATTAAAATTTTTCATCACCATTGAGTTTTTATTAAAATACTATCTAAATATAAATTTAAGTTTTGACCCACCCAAACACAAACTCAAATAGATTCTCAATTCAAAACATAACTCAAATGTGCACATCTAAACACAAATTCAAGTTACAACTTCAACTCAAATTATAACACAAACTCAACTCAAAATCATCACTTAAATTATTCTAACTCAAAAATACAAAAAAATAACCCCTTAATTTCTTTCCAACACTTTTGAAATAAAGAAACAGCTCCTTCAAAGTAGAAAAATAAAAAATAAAAACAAAAGCACCGAACACTGTTTTAGATCAGATTTTCCTTTCTTTGTTTTAAAAAACAAAAAACCAATTATTTAAATGGTACCGAACGTACCCTTATTTATTTTGATGCCCTCTTTTTCAGGTTATCAGCAAACAGGCTCTCTTGGCTGCCCAGGTATCGCAAAAAGATTCAATTCATTCATTTTTTTTTTTTTTTTTGGTTATGCCTTTGTTGGGCCACAGTAAAATTTATGCCAAAATTTGATAATTGCTTGTGAACTACGCAGAAATTTGGTTATGGCTCGGTGGTTGGTTTCGAGGTCTATGTGTTGGATCAAAGAACTCGCCTTCTGAGTTTTTAAACCACGTTCCGATGAGTTTGAGAAGATAGGCATGATGGTACAGTCCCAGCATTGGCTCCCGCTTATCGGTCCAATCTAAAACCAAGCCCCACTCGTCGGTTTGATCCCGGCATGGGGCCGGACACATGGGCCCGATCTCGATGCTCATCCCTTCTTTTTTTTATCCCGTATTGAGTATAAGTGATAATTTTATTTTCGTTTAGAAAATGTAATAAAATTATTATTTTGAAACGCGTTTTTTAATTTTTGATTTTAAAAACAGAAAATAAATGGTAGTTAATAAACATGTTTTTTATTTTAAAAAAAGAAAAAAAAAAGAAAAAATATTTTTGTTTTTTAAAAAAATAGAAAAACAAAAACGTTACCAATTGGTTAAAAAAAAAACATCTTTATGCTATCATAAGTCATAAATTTGCAATTATATATAATATATATATTTTTGTTTTATAAATAACGAGGAATAACAACTAACATTAAAGAGACGTTTGTTTCTTATATTCGTTCTTAATTCTAAATCATGATTTATGGTTTTTTATAATATTTTCTCTCATAAAAAATATATGTAAAATAAGAATGATTTTGAATCATAATTCTGAATACATAAACTAAACGCCCTATAAGGGAACTAACTGGCCTGAACTAAATTGACAACGATTAAAAACCAAATCTTATATTCAACCCCCTCTCTTTTTTTTTTTTTAACCTAAATTATGAGAGAATATAAATGGCATTAGAGTTTCATAGTACATATCAACTATATTGGCATTTTACAAGAGAACTCATCGACACCAAATCCTCTACTTACATATGTTCTATATGAGGAGTAGGTTTTTGTAATTATTGAGGAACACATAACGTTACTCTAAAAACCACGCAACACAACGTGCAAGCCAATTATGCCCACTGAGCTGTGGTGCGCTTCACTTGTACTTGTGTTTGTTCCCGTGCCGTGTCATACTAACTTAGCGTACTTAAAATCATTTAAAATAACCCACTACCTCTTATTATACTTAGCCCGACCTAATATAATCTTATAATGTGTCATTTGTTCATGTTGAGTGATTTGGTCCAATGCATCTCTACTTGGAGTCTTTTAAACAACAAAATATATAACAGAGTAACACTCTGGCACATATTTATTTGCCAACTCTTATTTGCCACTTGATGTGACATTTTCTTTTTTTCAGTAGCTAATTTTTTCAATGAGGATATAATTGGTCTACATTGTAGTGTAAAGGCGTTTGGCATCTCAGGATCATAGACAAGATGGTGCTTCAGCTGTAAACAGGGGTCTAGCTGCAAATCTTTCTATGATACTTTGAAATATAGATATATGCAAAAATAAAAATGAATGATAATGCTACAATAAGGTATTAAAAAAAATACTTTACTTGTGTTGCACAGTTTTAAATTGTCAAATAATATATTCAGCAAAAAAATTATTAAATAATGTATAGATTCTGTTAGTTTTACATACTGCTTTAGTTTAAAATAAATTTTTAGTTCGTTTATTCGAGTTTAGATGTGACTTTATGTGAGAGCTTTTTATTGTAATAAAAAATTAAATGTAACTGTTTCTGAAAATTTTTTACTATAACAAAATTTAAATTCTAAACTCGAATTGATAAAATGAACAAGATAAAGACACATGGACAGCAAGTAAAATATTCCTACCATAGAAAGCTTTAAGAATGAAAAAAAAAAAAAAAAGAAAAAAAAAAGCAGATGCTTAGTCCTATTTATCTCTGAATGTCTCAAAAACCATGCGTGTCTCCCTATAGCTAACTAGCTAGCTAGGTCTTTATCGTCTTATGACTAGGTAATATAGGTTTTGCAGATAAAAAGGTTTCCCAATATCAGCAAGTAGTAGTTGGCTTGCTTTTATTTTGATTCCAAAACCACTAACATTCAAATCATTGAAGCTTGACTAAAGAAGATATAAGATAAAGCATCAGAAAAGGGTGGTACATAAATTCCCCATGATGCTGAACTCTGAAAGCAACAGATAAAATGTACATCATTATAATGGAAACATGACAAGCTGCAAATTGTTTCATTACATAGCTAGGTATGAGTAGGAAGAATCCTCACCAGCAGTGAAGGACAATTAAGGTCCAAATAATGTGTGAAATGGTAGGTAAATATGTCCTGAGACAGATTAATTGAGGAACCAATTGGTAACGGACCAAATTATTATAACAGAGATAACTCTCATTGCTCTATTTCATTTTTGTTGACAAGAATAATTCAAGTTTGACCTTTCTTTATCATAATTCATTGTACATGTTGAAGGGTATAGACAATGAAATCCTTGAGGATATAAATAAGAATGATCGACACATCTTTTCCATAACCGAAAACAACAGACAACAGCAATTGTTTTGAGATACAACTTACAAGCTTCATTTTTCTCGGGCCGAAAATTCGAATAGATCAAAAATTACAATGCTATTCTACATTCCATTCTTGTAGAAGGAGCATTTGAAAATCAATCTCTCTGATCATAGATTTGTAGAGGACAACTTCAATTCCTGGTTTCCATGGTTTTATTCTTGCACAAGTCGTTTTAGAGACATATATACATAGCAGAAAAGAGACCCATCACCAGGAAATATTAATCAGGCCAATTGATTGATTGATTGATTGATTGAGCAGGCAATAAAGTGTAATCGAGAATTCTTTCTTCTTCTAAATACCATTTCAAAGAATTTTCCCATCTTGCAATAATCTAGCTTCAAGTCACATGGGGGGACCATGGGAAGGAGATAAGTTAGCGCACTTACTGTTCAACCTGTTGGCATAAGAACAAAACATTGGTGTCATTTCAGACCATGTGATGGTGACACTTGTAACACTAGGGGACTTTACCAGACAAAATACATACATATATATATATGTATATATATGTATATATGTATATATTACCAAAAAACTAAGGCCTGCCTAACAAGAGGACAGGTTTTGACCAATTTATCTTAAAAAATAGGAGAATTCTACGGTAGTGTGAAAAAGATACTACATCAGCCGGACGTAATTTTGAACCGTCAAAACATATATTTTAAAAAAAAATTATATGACAACTTAAACAGAATTTGATGAAGATCGGTAGGGTATTTTTCATAGCCAACCAATCAATTCTTCTCAAGTATATATCAAGATCTTGAAAGGATTGTGTGATATCTAGAAAGAGGATCACATAATAAAAGCAGAAATATAATAGGCTTATTCTCAACAGATAATTTATAAACAGAGAAAGAACCCCGTGTGATAAAAGGGCAGGACCATTCTTTAAGGAAAAGGCAATCAATCAAGATAAGGCAGAAAACTGCTGAGATAATGCATTTGCTCCCAATTTGGACATCACAGCTGTTGGGAAATGCGACAGAATTCCACCAAGTAGGATCCTAACAAATCTTTATAGGTGAATTCTTCTGAAATTTTTATGTATGAATTTCAAAAGGCATGACAGTTTAAACCTACCCAAATCATATTATTAGTGTTTGTTTAGTGATAAACAAAAATTGGTTGAAATGACTTACTTACCCATCTTGCCACTTATGCCACCATCAGGTGGAAATCCACTATTGGAAGGTCCAGTACTGTTTCCATGCTGTACCATTGATTGGCTTTGCTGTACTGTCTGGGGACTAAACCTGAATATATTCAATGGCTGCAAAACCAAATGGGAAAAGAGAGAGAGAGGCTTAAATTGATGAAACATAAACATCACAGAAGAAGGCCTCAACAAGGTAACAGAAGAACCTGAGACACAGGTTGCATAGAATGGAATCCCATGTAACGCGCGAATTGTTCGGGAAAAGACGTGTTTTGCATCTGGTTTTGGTAGTTAAGAGGATTGAAAGCTGGGGTTTGGCACAAAACAGACTGGTCAGTTGTTGGAGCCACAAGCATGGATTGATCAACAACCGGGACCCGGGGCAAATGCATCGGATTGTGGATAGAAGGCAAGGCAGGCGGGGCCATTGCCATGCCCATCCGCGACATGTAATGCTGTACTCCTGGAAACATCATTGGCGCCATACCACTTCCCATCCACATTACCTTTGAAACACCAAGAAAAACATGTCGGTGGATTTCTGAGTTACAAACAGTTAAAAATAGGTTTTCGGGTTCTAAAAAGAGCTTCGATGTAAGTAATACCTGAAGTTGTAATTGAAGTGACTTCAGGTACTCAATTGCCTCATCCAACATTGATGCTTTATCTGTCTACAAAACAAGGAATGATTCACTCATCAAAATTCATCTTTCTTCTTCCCTATTTCTTTGTTACTTTCCATTAGCCTAATTTCACTCGTAAAAATTTGTCTATACATGTAAAACTCATAGTAAGAAGGAAACCTTGTTGCTGTGAGGTATGAGCTCCTGCAACGCCTTCATCTTCTCGTTGATCCGATCTCTCCGTCTCTATATAAGCAAAAAAGAAAAGTTTACACCATCAAACTTACAAATACTAAAATTTTGAAAAATTTACAAAATGTCACAAAAATCCTACTCTTTCAGAGAGATTATGAACTTCAGCAGCGCGGCTCTTCCGCAAAGTCCCAGATCGTTGGGAAGATTTATTTGCAACCGCAGATTCAAGCTCAGCAGCCTAAAACAATCTCAGAAACAGACATAGGATTACAACATAAAACAAAAATAAATGCTGCATCTCCAAAGCATGAGATGAAATGGCCATTTCTTACCTTACTTTGGCACTCTAATTCCTCTTCATCTCTACTCTTCCTTTTGTTGTTGGTATTGCCACTTGTTGTAGTAGTAGATTGTTTGCATGGTCTTCCCAAACTACTACCAGATCCACCAGAAGAAGAAGTAACCGTCGGTTCAAGAGTCACCGTTTTCCCGCTCTCACTCTGAGGAATGACTTTCCTAATCATGTCATGGTCATTAGGAAGTTGATTGCTTCCACAGTGGCTCAACCCAACCGTCATTACAGAACACTCTCTACCCTCTCCTTGTCCACCAGAAGGCCTCAAATCACACTTCTCAGGGCCCGAAAACTGAGAGAAGTTAACCACTTTTCCCAAGGAACCCATATTGTGATCTTGCAGAGCCGAATTGCAATACTGCCTTGGAGGAAGCATTTGATTTTCATGACATGAGGGCTTAAGTCCTTTGACATGAGTAGTAGTCTCATAAGCGCCAAACTTTGATACCTTCTCCTCTTCAAACTGTCTGATGATCGGAACTTTATCGATGTCAATCGGATCACACGAAGGTGAGTCGGAGAAGAGATTGGAACAGAACTCCTTCTCAAAGGAATCCTCAAGTGGGTAATGGATCCAAGACGCACTCTCGTCATCTTGGCTCATGTTGATTGAATTCCCATAGGACCCGCAAGCCCTTGTTGCTTGTTGATCATGATGATCATGTTTCTGAACTTGTCTCGGGTCATTAGGATTGTTAAGAGCTTGTTTTCTATGTGTTTGGCTGTGTAAAACCACCTGTCCATTTCTCCATAAAATCTCCACCAAATCATGGTCGCCCCTGTAAATTTTTTCAACAGAACTTCAACTTCTTTGACAATTTTTTTTTTTTTTTTTTTGTCAATTATGTCCTTTGTAATTTGTAAAACACAATAATCTAGAGAAAGAGAGAGTATAAGTACAGACCCTGTGGGATTCTTTTGACCGTTTATAGGAAGATCACCCTCGAAATTCCAATCAGAAATGCAATTATTCATGGCTTGGCTGACCGGGCTAAAAATTTCTGCAAAACAAGAATAAAGGAATCTTTTAATATAATATAAAAATTATTCCCTAATCATATTTTATAATCTCTGTCTCATAAAACTCAGTTTAAGAAAAGCGACTGACATCCACATTCATAAATAATATCTTAAAGAAATGAATAAAGATCTTAATAGACAAAAAAAAGCTATTGATTAGTTTGGTCAAAACAGTGAATTTTTTACTATTTTAAATGGAAAGTATATTATATTATAAGTGTTGTTTTCTGATTATGGAACTGTGCTTAGAAACAAAACACTTGCTTTTTATGTCATCATTCATAAGCGTTATACATCGTGATTCATAATCACAAAAGGCCCCGCTTTAATATGCTTTCTACATAAAAAGGAAAAAAAAAGGGGAAAAAAAATTACAAAACTGATATACTTTATTTGGAATGAAAATCCGCGCAGAAGAGAACCCAACTAACAGAACTAACAACGTAATGATTTTAACATAAAACTTCACAGAAAACACAGAAAAAAAAAAGATGTCTATAAAGGAGAAGAAGAAGAAGAATATTGATGATGATCCACTAAAGAAGAAAAATAAAGAAAACAAACCTGACTTATTATGTTGAAGAGGAAACTGGTAAGTTCACCAATCTAATAAGAAGGGTAATAAGAAGGGTAGTTTCAAAAACAACTTATTTTCCTCTCTCTTCTCTCTTTCTCTCTCTTCTGTTCTTCTCTCTTTCTCTCTCTTATATCTCAGTCTGTTTTGTGGTGTGTATGAGTTTAAGAGACTAGAAAAATGAGAAACTGAGAATGGACCAGAGGCTCTTTGAGTTTAAACACAAATTACAATGACAGGGACGTCACAAACAGGTCAGAGCGAACTTGTAAGAGCAATGATTTACTGCTGTTAGTACCACTGTTATTTCGGTTTCTGGAAGTTGAATCCCTCAGAATGATCCACGTGGCAGTCGTACATTGAGTGAACATATGGAATTGGTGGGATATGGAGTAGATTAGTTGTAGGAGATTACTGGAAAACTGGGTTGGAATTCTTTTGCAAATTTTATATTATTTCTTTACACAAAAAAGAAAAAAAAAATTTGAAAGGGAAAACGATTTATTGTTATTTTGCTAAGAAAATTATTTATTTATTTTTTTGAAATGGAGAAAATGATTTATTTAATTTATTTGAGTCCCAGAGTGGATGTGATCCGAAAATGCGCGAGGGTGCTGCCACGAATGCAGGGGGTAAGCCCACGCAACTATTTATTTGGGCAATGATGAGGGACAAGACTCTTAGAGCAAAAGGTTTTGACAGCTCACTTATTCATATAAAACTATTGCTCCGTTTATTTCAGAGTTTTAAATTTAAGTTTTATTAAAATAAATTTTTTTTAAAAATAATTACATTTAATTTTTTTATTACAATAAAAAATTTACATAAAATCACATATTAATTTAAATTAAAATCTTAAATTAATAAATTAAATGAGCCTTATATATAAAAAAAAAATTTACCTCTGTAGTTGAATAAATCACTTCTTCCAATATCTCTAATACAGTGATGTAATTGATATGGTAATTATAAATTTAACATTTAAGTGCACAAAACACTAACTTACATAGCGATATTTATTGTGCTAAATTATTCATATGTTATATTTTATGGTAAATTTTTCATCAAATATAACATATCAAAAATTTTAGCATCTGATTGCTATTAGTTAAAATGTTTATTTTTTCATATAATCATTGCAACATTTACATTTTCTAATTATTTTAAAGATAAAAATTTACTTTTACAACTTTCAAAACTTAATAATTATTAGAAAAAGTAGATTTAATATTTCAAATATAATTATACATTAAAGCAAATATAAAAATAGCATACCATATAATACTTTTTTATGCTAAATATACAATTGACATTAACATTGCATTAGAGATGGTCTTAGACTCTTAAAAAGACAGATTTTAAAAAATTACCTTATGGATATGATTTTATTTTTCAACCCATAAATTTATATTAATTAAAATTAATTACACTATGGATACCAAGATTTACTATAAAAATACCCAAAAGTTACATCTCTATCATAATTTTTATGCTATTCTGAGTTTTTGTTTTCAATTAACATAAAGCAAGATCATGATAAAAGTTAATTACTTTTCTGTACATACATAACTAAAGGCATATTTTTCATAACTCATGTTACATCGCAAATTTTTTATGTGAGAAAAAATATTGTAGTAAAAAAATTAAATTTAAAATTTTATAAGCAAAAACACTTTAGAAAAAAAAAATTTGAGTTTTAATTTGAGTTGTGAAAAGAAAAAGGCCTAAAATTTTCCTTTATTTAAAAAACAATTGGATCAATCCATGTCCTAAAACCTCTGCCCTTAAAAGTTATTTTTTCAAACCAAAAAATAGCACACTAATTAAAGAACTTAATTTAGGAATAAAATAAAATGGAATTGTGTAATTATAAAAAGCGAGTGAAATTGTTCTTTCGAAAGATAGAAAGAGATTCATTTTGAATGGTCCATTACACGCATAAATGTCGCTTTAGTATCATTTAAATTTGGGCACATAGATATGCATGCACGGAATGCAGTTTTAAGTGATACAAAACTATTAAAAGCCAAATAAAGAAAACAATGAAGGACCACGTTTGGACCATTTATATGCACTCCAAGGGGAATCAATCCAATCCATACTTGAATGAAAACTTTACAGTAGCAATAAATAGTGGCGGAAGCCTACCCGAGAATTTGGTAGGCTGGTGGGAAGATCTCCATTTATGGCCCAAATTTTGATTCATGAGTTGTTTGGTCGGAGGATTGGTACCCCGATTTAAATCATAGTTCATTGTTTGTTACAGTATTTTCTCTTATAAAAAATACACGTAAATTAAAAACTGACCAAAAGAAAATAAAAAAATAAAAAAAAACTAATTTTATGGACAATTTAGTAGTGGAAATGAAAAATTAATAATAACACTTTACAGGTGAAAGAAAGTTTAAATAATCCAATCTTTTTTTAATTAATATGATCACAAAGACATAACCATTAGGTTGACACTCCCTGAAATCTCTCCTTCCCGTTAATAACAACCAACTTTAATTTAAGAGAATATTAATCATAACAGATCAAGAAGAAAGTAAGATGGTTTCACAGAATTTAATAAATCTCTGACAGTTCAGAATAATATTTTCTTACCCTACAAAAAATTCTCCTAATATTTAATTACACTTGAAAAGAAAAAGTATTCTATGGATAACATAGACTTTGATTGTTGTCTTTTGCGTCCCAGACACATCAAATTGTTACAGTAACATATTTATTGTGCATTCTACGATTAAGATGACTGTTGATAATTACAAGAAAAGATTACCAATGAGCCCTAAGAAAATGCACTTATCTCATTTTGATTCCCCACGTACACTTTTTGAGGTAAAATTCCCTTGAGATTTTTAATATATATATATATATATATATATTTTATACATATATTACCTTTGCTATTAAAATATCTATTTTGGGACAAAATGTATATGATGGTTTTAAAAGGGATAAAATAGTTTTTTTTAAAAAAAAAAAGAAAATCTGAACAAAATATTCTTAATGAAAAAAATGGACTAGACAATACAATTTGATTCTGTATTTCATATATGTTTATTGTGGGAGAAATACAGAAATAAAACTCAAAAGATATCATCTTTACATTTATCTAAAATATGTTCAGTTGAATATCCTACCATATTATTTTTCTTTTCTTTTCAATAGACATTTTACTAGTAGAGGGCCAAAACTATATATTAAAAAAAAACTAAGATAAGTAGACCCCTAAAATTAAATGTCGAAGATTAAAATAAGACAATTACTATCCTCATGAGTCAATGGTAAATAATCCTTTTAAAAATACCTTGTACTAATTACTTTAAAAAAAAAAAAAAGCCATTGCTATAACCATGAAATAATTTTATTGTAAGAGCTATATAAGCAAAATAACCCTAGTGGAAAATTAATTACTCTCTCTTTGGTGTTTTTGGTTATACTACCAAATATTAGCATTACTAGTAAATGCTCTAACATTTCTCTGGGTCGTTATCGGTTTTGGAATCATCTCCATGGATATAGAGATAACAACTTGACCCTCTTTAGAGTGAAAGGTCAATTAGCAGAATATCCTTATGATTGTGTGGAATCCGAGCCGTGAAAGAGACTGCAATATATGTGCATGGCAAGATTAAATATATATTATATATGGTTTTTAGTCCTCAGTACTTGTCCTAATAGCCAACCAAGTTGATGATTTATTCAGCTTTTGAAAATTAAACTGAAGTTTTTTTTTTTCTGAAAAAAAAAAAAAAATTAAACTGAAGATCCATGAATACATATCAGCATTTCTCATCACTTTCCACTTGCTCTCGATGGCCAAAAAGGCTTTCTACTTTTTCTGCTTATCAATATTCAGCAGCAATGTTCATACTATTCACCAAAAAAGCAATGTTCCTATTGCAGCACTAAAATGATACTGAACAAATATTTCTATATACATCATCATTTGTTCAATTCTTTTGATCTAAAATAATATCTAACTAATTATATTATGTCATGTGTCATTTAATAAACTTAAAAATTAAAACATAAACAGAAAACATGTCAAATTTTTTAAATGGTATGAGATAATGCAGTTAATTAGACATTTAAAACATTAAAATTACCCAGATAGTTTGACTCCACGAATTACTATAATATTACATTGCTAAATTTTGACTAATTATAAACCCACAAACTAATTCTACAAACTATAAATTATTAGACCAAAATTTTATACAAATTTAAATGATAATTTATCAATCTTTGAATAATTAGTGGCGATTAATTATCAATCATTGCCACGAGTGATATTTTACTCAATATTTTTTTCCTTTTTTTTTTTTTTTTTTTGGTGCTTGTAACTTCGCTTGATATGCATTTTCAGCCTCGATTCGCGCCTGCGCTCAGTCAACAATTTTGGGATGTTGCGATTAGAAGGTTTTTATGGAAACAAAGTTGATTTTGTCGCCACCACTATGGCAGTTTGTCGCGAAAATAATCATTGCTAAATCACATTATATAGCTATTTCAGTTCCCAATACTACTCAAGTACTAAGCGCCTAATTCGTGATTTGGTTAGTACTAATTCCGGATGATTAATGATGGAGTACGAAATCACAACTTTCCCACGAAAACTCTGTACCTTAACCTAAAGATGAATTTAAAGCTCATTTAGTTCACGTTTGAAACTATAATTTTGATTTTGTTATTGTATTTTTTTATTATAAAAAATTTAAATAAAAAAATTTTTTGTTAACGGGTTCTCAATATTTAAATTCAGAATCAAAATTACTAATTTAAACTTGTGAATAAACGAGCCATTAATGACATATTTTACATATTTTCCACAAATGACAAAAATGTCAACAACTTCTTATGTATTTGATATTTCTATGATATAAATATTGGAGTAAATATCTATTTTTTTTCTTGATTGTATATAATATATCAGACTCTCCAAACAATATCTATAAAAATTTAATTGTCATTAATCAAGGATCAAAATGTCAATGTCTGTTGTAAAAAATTAAAAAAAAAATATCGATGCTGATGGGGCTGATGGGTTGTCGGGGTTTTGATTTATGGATAATATTATCGGCAATAATATTGATGTCAAAGGATATTTTTAGGAAAAAAATAGATATCTTGAGAAAACCTTACATTTTTTTTTTTG